GTGGAGGTCTGGGATAAAGTCCTGGTAATATGACACCAAGCCTAAAAAACTTTGTACGGATTTAATATCCTTTGGCTCAGGCATATTTTTTATTGCTGAAGCTCGACTTTTATCTGGCTTTTTCCCTTCTTTATTCACTATATGTCCCAGATACTTGATCTCTTCCAGGAGAAAATCGCATTTGTTTTCTTTCACTCGAAATCCATATCTTCTTAACCTTTCAAAAACTTTGCGTAAATGGTGTTTGGGTTCATCCACCGATTCACTTTTTACAAGAATATCGTCGAGATATGCTATTGTGTAGTCTAACCCGATAACATCGTATCCATAATTTTCTGGAATATTATGGTGCTGTCTTCACCCGAACGGTAACCGTTCGTATCTAAACAAGCCTTTTTATGTGTTAATACATAGTAACTTTGCACTTTTCATATCCATGGGTACTTGCAAGTATGCCTCGCTAAGATCTATTTTCAAAAAGATTTTTCCGCCATTTAACTGCGAACACTTCTTGGGACTTGGTAGTGGATAGTGAAACTCTTCTATTAAGTCGTTTAACCGGTTGAAAAATCGGCGAGACGCCAGAATTTCGCCCGACTTCTTCTTTACGTAGACAGCGGAGCTGCCCAGTCACTGTATTCTGTTTTCGAGATCACACCAATTCTCATTAGTCTTTCGAATTCTTGATCAATTTTCTCTAATGCGGCAAAAGGGATGCTTCGCTTTTTTTTAAAAATTGGTTGAATATTTTTCTTCAGCTGTATTTTTGCTGATGCTTCAGTGCAACGTCCAAGTCCTTCAGCAAAAACTTGGGAATTCCGTTTTCAATTCTGCTTGTAGATTTTTTATATGGTCTTTGCTTTCACTAATGTTGTGGCAAAAAGAACTAATGGGCACGTCCCATAGGTTGAATTAGTGATTGCGTCAGTCCCAAACAGGTTGTTTGTGTTTTTCATTACAAACATTTTCATATTTATCGACTTATTGTTGAGAGTTATATTTACCCATATTTCCCCTTCAAATTTTATCTTTTTTCCAGTTACCGTCCTGGCTATTTTGTTAGATTTTAGCAACGTTGGTTTTCCTAGACTTTTCCATGTTTGCGTGTTAATGATTGAAATGTCAGATCCTGAATCTAGTTGCATTTTACCTTCTTGTTGTACATTTTTACATGAAGGTATTTTCGAATATTCAGGTCTTGATCTTCGTCTGACTTGGTAACTTTACTCGACTTCTGTTTAATTTTCTACACTTTGACATCTTATGTCCTACTTTTTTGCAATTTCTGCACGCTTTATTTTTATATGGGCAGTCATTGTACCAGTGCCACTGGCCACATCTATAACATGCACTCGAAGGGGTTTTTTTTCTATAGCCTCTGTTCGTTCTTGTAGTAGGATACCACTTCTGTTCCGCGATGGAGAACTGAAACTAGTCTTCCTATATACTTTCTTCACATTTGCGATAGCAGTTTCTTCTATTTTTTCTGAATCTTGCTTAATGCTTACGCATTGCTGACAGTACTCAGCTAGCTTTTGTAGTGTCATGTTTTGGTCATTTTCTAGTTTTTGTTAAAATGCGTCTTCGTGCATTTCACTATCTTTTTAGACACTAAGCCTAGCACGAATATTAGACACTTGAAATTGTCTGCCGATAATTCGGACAAGCGAAAATCGTCACGTCTTTATTTATGATTGACGTGACGTTGTGTAATCTTCCTCCTCGCTTTTTTTGGATATTCAGGCATTTCCACCTTTTGTGAAATAATGAAAATCTGGGATTAAAAAGCTCTTTTAATAATTCAATTGCTTCATCGAATTTTAAATCTCTTGTCTTTTTGGGTAATATAAAATCTGTAAACTTGTGTTCTGCCGTTTCCAGTTTTCGTAGCAATAATATTATTTTTTTTTCATCTGTCCATGTTTGGCAATCAACTTCATAAAAATCCTGATATCTATGGTAGTATCTTTCGAAAGTCTTTTCCTCTTCTGGGTTATAAGTAAAACTTTCGATCGTTGACCATATTGTATCTTGGGGAAAAATATTTTCATCCGAGTCTTTCTGCTTGGACAGTATAGCTTTATGTATAAGTTCGGCCATTGCTAACTGTTTCTTTTTCATTTTCTTCTTGTATTTTGTGTAGTTCAGAAATCGTTTTGTGTTTTCTTCCTTTTTGCTCTTTCTGAAATTTAAGTTGTTCTTCTTGAATTTTAAGTTGCTCTTTCTGAAAACGTTCTTCACTCTCTTGCTGTCTTTGCATCTGATACTTAATGAGTTCCAGCATAGTTGATTGAAATTGCTCCATGATTATGTATGTGTAGAGAAAAAAGAGAAATTATGTGGTTTTTTTTTCTCTCTCTGAGGGGGGCCAAAAAATTCAAATTTTCTGGTACGACAATTTTTTTTTTTTTTTTAGCACAAAAATTGGTTATTATAGCTTCCAATTTAATCAATAAGTTAATGTCTAACTTACAGTTTTTTCTTTTTGTCGATAACTTGTAATCCTTTGCTGTAAATGCTTGAACTCTTTTAAAATTCTTCCGTGTTGGAAATCGGTTATTATTTCTGTTCGAAGCCAAGTCGCCACTGTTGAGATGTTGTGAGTTTCCCGCGTGTCGGTGTATGAATCAAGACAAACATAGTTGTAGAGGAAAATACTGGTATATTCATAAAAGCAATTAACAATAGAGTGATTAGTAGAACGAAGGTTGGTTAGTACGAAACAATATCCAAAGTCTATAGTCCAACGGTATGTACCGGGTAAGCTTATCTGGACTGCTCACGCTGACTCTCTCTCTGACGCTCTGTCACTCTCTCTCCAGAGCTGACTTATATAAGAGGGACCAGTCCATTACTAGTTAGAAGGTGGGTGCGCCCCAACAGTTTGAAACCTCAACTCCAACTTAGAAATGAACAACAAAGTGTCACAAAATTATACTGTGAGGGAATGGCTGTTAGCTTGCATGCTTGTAGATTCTTACATGAAAAAACGTTCCTGTATAAACCTCAGCTATATAAACCTTGTTGATTTACACAACTTTCTTTTTTCTTTTTTGTCTTATAACATCATCTTGTCTGAACAACACTAATCCAGCGATATCTGGTGACGATTCGATCCTTGCATGCCTTGTGATCAAAACAAACACAACGTGGGACTGGGAGAGGCTTAGATCAAAGCGACCAACTTCACAGGATTTGATCGTGGACACACTGGTGACCGAGGATGGGATGACATTGTCATGTAGTGCAGGGTTCAGGACACCCTGCAGCGTTATAATATTGCATTTTTATTAAATAAGTATTTGTTACTTTAATCATTAAATTGTTTTTAAATGGTGGGAGTATTTTGTATGTTAAATAATAAAACTTTTAATTTTTCCAAAACAATTAATGAAAATTTATTGTACTAAGTTAAGCACCTTAATAAAACCATCTGTACTTTGTATTCCCTTATCTGTTTGTATTTCTCCCCAAAATTTGGTTTTGATTGGTTAATGTATAGCTATTTTAGAGGGTTTGATGGACAGACTAATTGAAATCACAGAATTTTATATATAGATTTGGAAAATTAAAAAATGTACACAAGAAAGTAGTCATCTTCTTTAATTTGTGACATAGCTCCTGAGGTTAGGAAAAAAACTTTGGCTGTCATTTTCTTAAAAAATATTAGCACATAAACTTATACACATACATTATTTTCTAACAATTAAATGTTTCATGGCAAATAAAGAAACCTTATTAAGTGCTATAAATGTGGCTTAAATTTATTTTATAATTACAACCCCATCACCTTATATTGGTGATAATATTAATTCTGCTAATATTGCTAATATTGTAGTTGAATCAATAAATTATTTTCCTTGAGCTTTATTTTTTAATACCTACTATATATTTATGAAGCATATATTTATAAAACATGTATTTACAAAGCCTTCAAGTAAAACTTAAGAGAAGATGAGTGGCATATACATTTTAACAGAATGTCACAGAAAGTCACAGCCATTGTTTTATATAGAAACAAGCATAGAGCATTTCCAAAATTTGGCAGAGCAACTAAAAATGAAACACAGCATAAACTGAAATGACATGTCAAATGGTAGTCAATACGTTAAAATAATTTAAGGGTCTGTAATGTAATCAATCCTAAACTGAAGTGTTGAATATTGCTACCATATCAAATCTGGTGTCCCAAATTTCAATATTCTTGACAAAATCCAAAGGGTTTGTGATATTATCAGTCCTGACCTGGCATCTCGACTTCAGTCATCTTCTCAATGTCATGACATGCCTTATCTCTGTTTTTTCTCTAAATATTTTCATGTTAATTCTTTTGATGGGATTTCTTACTTAGTACCTCATCTGCTTGAATTTAAAATTGGTAACTACATTACACCATTTGACTGCTGGAATAGCTAGATGTAACTAAGATCTATTCTAATAGTTTATTTTCTTGCACTTCTCGCCTGTGGAAATCTTTCAATTTCTTTTTTCCTGACACCTACAATCTTCAAAAAATTAAATGCAACACCAATCAACATCTTCTGTCATCCTGAAACATGCACTTTTATTGTCCTTTTCCTCATTAAAGTTTTCTCATTCTCTTTCACTCCCAGTAACCCCTTGTGTCCTAGTGGCTTTATTGCCTTGTTTAGGGTGAAACAATTAAAATGGAAAATTGACTGGTCAGATTTGTTCAGCTCATCTGAAAAGTGTTAAATTTTTTTTAACTATCATACTGAGACATTGTTGAAAGATTTGTCTATGATTAAGTAAAGGGAAGTTTTCTTTACTGATAACAGACTGCAAGGTTGATCATAGTCATACAAGGCTTATGGTCATATCACATCAAAACACCAGTTCTCATATGATCACCGAAGTTAAGCAATGCTAAGCTAGGAATATCTCTTACTTAGTAGCTTCTCCTGGGAATTTCTGAATTCATTAGTACTTTGCTATCATGCTACCAAATTAGCCATTATGTTTCAAGTCATAATACTTACCAATGAATTCATTGCGTATCTTGTGACGACCATGTAAGTTATCATTTGCAGAGATGATGCAGTTGATGGCTGATACAATGGAACACTTATACCCAACAGTATCTGCTTGCTTCAACTCTGTGATTAAAATACTGAATCTATGGGTCTGAGCAGCTTCTTTCTATGAAAAAAAAAAAAAAACAAGAAAACAAAAAAAAACAAAACAATGAAATATCAAGTATGTTTTTTTCAAATGTTTTTTTCTTTCAAATAAAATTCATCCAATACATGGCCCAAGAGCCACTCAAAGTAGAGGGTTACTGAATGAAGTATGATATGAGCATAAGAGAATTTTGATTGATTTCTGTTTTTGTACAAAAGAAAATGGTGACATACCCTGAAGGCTAAAATGCTTTAGTGTCACATGATGCTTTTGCAGAAGAAAAATAGAAAAAAAGAAGAAAGAAAACTGTTTCACCACTGAATGAGGTCAGCAAGGTCATGTGAATTAGCTTCTGCTAAGCAACTGTGGTTCAAGTTTTACTGAGTGGAATGGATTGCATAGAAAAATATGCTAATCCATTTTTATGCTAATCCATAAATTGGAAACCTGGAAAGGGTCGACCAAACTGCTATAAAAGCAACTGATTTTTCCTACAAAAGGGAGAATTTTGCGAGGAAGCTGCATGTGTGTAGATGGAGATTTGGACTTTGTGAACCTTTATTATACAGTTTTAAGGCTTATCAACCTTTTGCAGGTTATTTAAAGCCAGAAAACATTTTCAGATGGTAAGAATCTTTTGGAGATAATAATGATTTATTAATACAAGCCCTACTATTTAATTCATACCTGGGGGGGGGGAGAAGGGACTGGATCCATACCTTTCCAAAGGGTATTAACATGTAAGTGAATATAATGAACCTGACTAGAATTTGAACCTTAGCCCTCTAATTTCCAGTTTTGAGCCATTATCCATTACATCATCTGCACACCCAAGCTTACAGCACCTGGTATTCCCAAGTAGTTACTTATTTAGGTACTGACCAGGCTTGTTATTGCTTAACTTTGGGATTATATGAGAACCAGTGTTTGAATATGACATGGCCATAATCTTTGCTATTATAAATAGAATAGATTATCATAACATATGTGTGCAATATATGAACAGGTTGATAGCCAAGTTCCAATTCCAGTTGAGTTTGTTATGTTCGTTTGCATGTAAGTCAATATAACAAACCTGATTGGAATTTAAAACTTGGCTCTTTGATTGCCAGTTCTGACCTTTAACCATTACATTACTCACAAACCCAAGTTTACATCGATTGGCATTTCAAAACGGTTATTTATCTAGGTACTAAGTAGACTTGACATCACTTAGCTTCAGTGATCGCACAAGAACCAGTGTTTCAATGTGAAACAGCCATAAGCCATGTGCGACTGATCAACCTATGTATGTTATTAGTAAACAAAACTTCCCTTTAATTAATCACAGAAAAAACTTGTCAACAATGTCTCAGTATAACCTATGATAATTAAGTCCTTTTTAACATTTTTCAGATGAACCAGACAAATCTGTCCAGTCAAACATTGTTTACAACTGAAGCTGGTATTAATTATCCGTAGAGGAGTACATGCTAGTAAATCAGCCAGAGTAACATGGCGGCTTCCATGTAGCTTTGAATCAATAATCAAATTTCACTATTTAAACAAGCAGACTTATGAATGTCCAGGAGACCCAGTTTTGGCTTAGATGAAGAATTTAAAATGGGGAAAGATGAATTTAGTTTAAATTATGATTTAGATTTCAACAGTACTAGCAGTAATCACAATTCATTAGAAATTCACCTTTCATTTTGTTTATATTCATAGCTAAAAATGCCCACTATATAGCATGAGAATAATCCTACTAGAAATATATATATATCTCAAAGCAAAGCAATAATGCCACTAAGGCACAAGGGTTACTGGAAGTATATTGGTCCCATTTCACCAAATGTAACAAAACTGCCAAAATACAAAGAATTTCAGCCATATTTAAGAGACCACTATAATTTGGCAAAGAATATTTCAGAAAAAATAAGTTGCCCTATTTTTATTTTTTTTATTTTAAACCGTGTCTCTTGGCCAGTACACTTGAGAAAACACAATAAAGAAAATGTGATCTCTGGCAGTGTTCAAACATGTCTCCTCCTTTGTTGGAGAAACCATTGTTTGATCTAGGATACTTTAAACTGCTCAGCCACAGAGAGTGCTAGAATGCACTCTTCCTTGTTAAGTTATTCTCAAAAGCTTTATCAGCTCAGTTTCATATCCGAAATGTAAACAAACCAATTATTTTTAATCTGACATTTTTATTACTTATTTTTAGTGGATACTCGTATTTTAAACAGAAGCCCCATTTTTTTAATTTAAACATTGTGTAATATGTCTATTGGCCTGCGAGAAAACTTAAAGAAAAGATTTTTTTTCAACTTTGTCATTCAATTACCTAATGTGATATTGACTCTTGGTATATAAGGAAACTAAATTGTCAATACATATTGAGAAAATAAATCAAAATAAAATTGAAGAAATAACTTGGTTTGTTTTTTTTGGTGACAATCGGAGATATTTCTTTTGAAATTATTTGTGTAGTCCCGAAAAGAAATGTTTGTGACAAGCCCAGCGTTCATGGGCATCTGAGGTGTCTAAACTCAATGAAATCCAGAGAAAATATGGAACCATATGGACTTAAAGAAAAGTCACCTTTTGGATTACTCAACTAACACTTTCATCTCCAAGGACACATGATCCATTAGTGTTGGAGTAAATTCTATGGATGTGTGTGTCAGGAAATTTGGAGGTGTGTGTGTGTATGTACTGATTTAACTCTATTATAGATATTATTACACATGACTTTTTAAATATATTGAGAGACATTTGGTGTGTTGGAGTGAAAGATTTAGGTTATATCATTTAATTCCAATTCACATATATATTTTTCTTTCTTTCAATTGTGCACCAATGGCTTAGAGGAAAAATCTCCGACTGTTGCCAAATCAGTCAGGTTTCGATCCCAGCTTGAAGCAATCGGATGTCTAGCCACACTGATGAGCTGTGATACAGCAAAACAGTCTGTCCGTGGTTGACTATATATATATATATATAGTGTAACCCGGATATAAGAGAGTTGTCGGGACCGGAGAAGAAGTCTCTTATATCCGGGTTTGGTCTATTTTATATACATTAACACAGGCTCTAATTTGGGACCAGAGAAAATCTCTCTTATATCCGGTTACACTGTGTGTGTGTGTATATATATATATATATATATATATATATATATATATATATATATATATATGTGTGAAAAGTGTATATAAATATAAATAAATATATATATATATATGTATAATTATTTATATATTATATCTTGTGTACTTATTAGAAAGCACTCAATATCAGAGATAGAGCTAACATATTTGGTTGGATAGATGTGAGTTTGTGACCCTGGGTTTCCGCTTTGGCGAAAGTAATCCGTATGGGTAAACCTAAGGTGGATAAAATCCAGAGAGCTCAATGTAAATTCAGAGCAAATAATTTAAATAAAATAAGATATATATATATATATATATATATATATATATATATATATATATATATATATGTCTGTGTACATTTATGGATACATAGAATATTATAAAAGAAGGACTTACAGTCCTGTTATTAGTGTTTTAACTCATTTTCTCATTTAATATTCTCCAATTGGAAGTGTGAGTTTAAAATTCTTTATAATATGGAGGAAAATTTTTTAAATTGATAATTTAATTTAAATTGAAATGTATTACCCTTTAATAATCATTATTGATGATAAAATATTTAAATTGGAAAAATTTTTAATATTTAGGTAGATGTTAATACATGAAGTTACCTGTGTATTTCGGTACATGGGTACCTGTATGAGTGATTGAATATGTAAAGGAATGTGTGTATATGTGATATTTGCATGGGTGTGTATACAGTATATGACAGAGCAAAATCTTTAATATTACCTTCAAATATTACCCCATATTAACTTAAATAAAATTTAAGTAAAAGAGATTACCTATCTAGAAACAGTCACGAGTTAAATTCATAAACAAAATTCAAACGGATAGAGATGTCAACTTAATAATCAGTAATAAAATTTTTTTAAAGAGATTAAAAAAAAGATTACTAGAAGTGAACTTATATTTTAAAATAAAATTTTATTCTTTTAATGTACTTTCTATGAATATTTTTCTAATCAACTATTTCATAGAAAATCCCCAAAATTTATAAAAAAAAAAATTTAAATCACTAGCAAACATCAAATTAAATTATTTGTAGACAGTCTAGAGACATTCAAATTTATATCAAACATTATAATCTTTATGAACCCCCAAAATAACACTTTCAAAGTAAAGCAAAATAACAGTGTCTGTTCTTCTAGCCTTTTTTTACAAAGAAAATTAGTGACATCTTCTCTCTTAACTTCCTTCCCTCTTTTTCTCTCTATGGGTTTTTTCTTCTCTACCCCTTCAATATCAATATATAACTTCCGTTAAGTTAACCATTTAAATGTGTCAATATCTGCTAACTCACTCATGTCTTCACTCTCTCCTGCCTCACTTCCTCACTTCGTTAATTTACATATGTTTAATACAGCCCATCAAAAATGTGTAAATTTTCTTTTCATTTTTTGTTTGGAAGTAAAGTCTGATGATCCGCAGTCCTTTTAAAAGGGCTGTGGTGAAATAATTTATTACATGGGACCTTAAAGTGGTCTGTTTTTGTTTAAAATATATATATATATATATATATATATATATTGCAAAACTCTTCTATGAATTGAGCCCTTTCGGCCATTGGCATGTTTATTCAAAGAATAAGTATGTAAAAATCCACCTTCCTCTCTACCGGGCACTGATAGCTCAGGGGTAACATCTCCGACTGATTTGGCATCAGTCTGGTTTCAATTGCGGCTTGATGCAATCTGATGTCTAGCCACACTGATGAGCTATGATACAGCGTAACAGTCTGTTTGTGGATGACTATATATATATATATGTATATATATATTTATGAATAAAAATGACAATAGGAAAACTAGTAATTGCTGACGCATTTCGTCCAATGTGGACTTTATCAAAGCAAAATACGTATTTTACTAGTTTTCCTATTGTCATTTTTATTCATAAATATTGTCTTCTCGACTGGTTAAATCGGAGAAATATATTGCATCAGAACAAATGTTTGTAGCATTTCCATGTGAATTTCAAACAATATTTATATATTTTACATAGATATATTCAACCATTTATGTCCTGTTTTGTTCCATTACCTTTCATCATCTTTGAGACAGCAAGTAATTTAATTATGTTAGAACTTTTTCTTTTACAATAATATTCACCCTGTACAAGGACCAAGAGCCATTCTAGGTAATGATATATATGACTAACACCAAAAAAAAAAAAACATTATTAGTCTGAAGAAGTCCCTGCAAGGTACAAAATGTAGGTATTTTCTTTTTTCATTTTGTCATTAAATATATGCACATATTACTTGTTTTTTTTCAATAATGTTCACCCTGTAGAATGCCCAAGAGCCATTTCAGATAGAGGATTACAGAGTAAGACATAAGGGACACAGTTTATGAGCATATGTGGAGAATGAACAGTTAACCCTTAACTTGAACAGGCTATGTTTGTAGTGATCTGGGAAGCATCCTCTTGGAAGCCAGTTCCACAATATTTAATTATGAGGTCATCAAGAAACTAGTGTGTCAAATAGTAGTGTTTGGATGTTTGTCTAACAAACCATTTTATACCCAACCATCTAGGCAGGAAAATGCAGTACGATTCTTTCAGATATAGTGGAAAAATAAAAAATGTCTAGTAACCGATATTCACTTTTATTACTAATCTCATATTTTAGTTGTCTGTCCAACAGTTTTGAATAGCCAAATTGAATTCTTACCTTGTAATGTTGCAAAGCCTGAAGAACAGAATAATAACCCTGGGAATTAAAAACACAAAGAACAGCCAGAATCTCAAAGACTTCCTTTTTGGTCATACTATGGACGGTATTTAGCGCTGAAGGAAATAAACATCAAATTTGTTAGTAACTTTTCAGTGTGAAAAGAAATTATTTTTCAGTACATTCACAAGGCTACGGAAAGAAAATTGTATAATCTAGAAATGGAATTTTCTGTAGTAATAATATTGAAAGGTTATTTGTCCTTTAACATACAATTTTTGAATTAGTGACTTCGTCTTTGCCGTTACTATCATGTTTCAGCTGTTGTGCTCTTTGGGCTTCTTCAGATGCCTGTTGATTCCGGCAACCTTCAGGAATTTTCAAACTGTTGTTTCCAACCTGAAGAATGAATGCCAAAATTTTCCCTCCCCAAATTTATAGACAAATACTACAGATGCATACTAGGATTTCTTCCAAGCCAATAAAAATGGAAGAGGCTATTTTGCTGAACACAATAAAATAGACAAACAGGTATGGGTAATTTGTTCCGGCTTTCCCACATGAAATGGCTTAAGGTTAAATGTGACAGAATTGATAAAAGCAACAATGGCTTGAAAGATTAGAGCAAACAATTCTCTCTTTTAGGTGGAAGAATAAAGACTTAAGCTCCTGCTTAGCGTGTAACATAGAAGAAGAAAATGTTTATTTATATAAACAAAAAAAAGGTAAAAGGATATAGACAAATACAAATGGAGAAGAAATTTCCTTTAACTTAAAGGAAGAAAAAATGTTCATATAAAGGCTTGCTCAAAATATTTCTCTCAGTGCCTAAAAGTTCTTTAAGCAGGTAAATTGTCCTTAAGGGGTTAACACTTACATAAATTTCTTCAGAGCTCTTGTGGAGCAGGGAACTGTCAGAAGATCCGAATTTTGTAGTTGAGTGAGTTTGTAGGCCAACAAAAGGAATTTCTAGATGCAAGGAAGCTGATGTCAACTAGTTTTTAGTAGAGGGCCGACAGTCTATCTTTAGCGTCCAGCAGATAGATCTCTTTCTTGAAACAGGTTCTAAAGATGTCTGATGACATATCGCTGATCTGATGTTATCACAGACGGTGTCGATTTTCACTATCGACGAGGCACATATTCTTCGTATTTATTGAGGTTAGAAGGTTTAGAAATATTGGGAACTTTTTCCCTCCAAAATTGCTATAATCTTTCCTAGCTCTCTCATTCTTCAGAAAATATATTCTTCTGATAAGAATCAAAGGTTTGGGTGCTGCTTTTTGGAAGCAAGGGTCCAACAAGTTGTGAGGATTACCCGCCAAATTTATGGAACCATGGTCAGGGCAAGGATGGTCAGATTCCTTTTTATATTTTCCAGCTCTCTTGTTTGTCAGAAAATATATTCTTATCTCTGAAAAGAATCAAGGCTTTGGGAGCTGGATTTGAAAGCAGGGGAAAAAATTTGGGTAAAGATCAGAAAAGAGGCTAGAATGTAAACTTGTAAAACATTGTAGTAGTGGTTCTCAAATTAAATTCTAATACAGGCTTTTAATCTTATTTTACCGGTCCATGTAAAATGGACACCTCGGACTATTTTGCCAGTAAATATTTTTATTATTATGAAGGCAGGTAATGTTAAAAATAATAACACACACAACTTCATTTATTATTACCATCAATTGTTTAAACGATTTAAAATTTTTTCTACCATCAATTGTTAAAAGATGAGTTAAAATCATTTATTCATCACCATTATTAAAAGAAATATAGAAGTCTCTGAATATTTTAAGCACTTCAAACATAACAGTCTGTGAAAATTTAAAACTTGCCCTTGGGCATGGTTCTCTTGCCACTTCAAGTGCACCTGAAAATAGTTTGAAGAATTTTTAAATGATAGTGTTCTGTTACCACAGTACAGCACGTGTTTTTTTTTGTCTTCCCTTTGTTCATCCCCTTTTTGGTTTTGATACATTTTAGATTAGTCACCATGTTTTCTTATCACATCCTGTTTAGTCCGAAGTGGCACAACAAAACACAGGCTTTCTTATTCTCCTAAATCATCCGGTTCAAACTTCTCCCCAGTCTCTAAAACAGGAATATATCCCTTGTTTCCTGTTTAGGATTGAATTTCTGGTTCCTCCTAAAGTTTTCTCATTCTCTTTCACTCCCAGTAGCAAATCCCACCCACTGAGCATCAGTCTGTGCAATGGCCTCCCTTAATATCTTATTATCATTTGAACATTTTTAAGGTAGTCACCTTTGTATACATTTATTTTACCTTCATATCTCTCCATGTAGGGTTTATAGACACATTACATCAAAACACTGGTTCCTGTATGGCCACCAAAGTTAAGCAACATTGAGCCTGGTCAGTACATATTCATGTAAGCAAACTATTTACTACTTTCCTTTAATCAGACCCACAGTCTCACTGCTAGGTTCAGCCTGTCATATACTTTTTTTTCTTTCTTTCTTTTACCCTTTTATTTATTTATTACTGATGAACAGGACTTTGTCTTCAGAGTTTCGAATGCCATAAAGTGTTTATCTGGCTGTCCAAGTTATGCACATGGGAGACAAATGCATACCAGAAAGCAGAACATTTAGATTGTTCTAATTAATCCTACTTTCGTCAATTGAGCGCTGATCATTGATGTGAGGTAACTGGTTAGTTAATTCCATTTTTTTCTTGAATTGTGGGTTTTCCTTTTCATCTTGTTTTTTTTTAATTATGCTGTTTGACCACTAATAAGATTTTCAAAACAATTATTGTTGTTCATGATGACGGTCGTCTTTGAGTATAGAATCCAGAGGTTAGCAGTGAATATTTTGAAGATAGTAGGGAAGTGTAGTTCAGGTTAGAAGTGGATATCCTGGTAAAGTAGCAGAGCGTACTTCTTCCTTCTGTTCCTCTTCACCTGACAAGCTGGCACTGGACATTCAGATAGAGTAAACAAAATGGCCGCCTTTATACATGACAGATTGAATATTCTACGTCTTCTGATTGGTTAACCGTCTATTGGTGGACTATAAAGTGAGTCAAGTCATTTGGGCTAGCTCACTTGTAAATAATATACACAAAAAAAACTGCAACAATTATTACCTAAAAACTCAAGATATTCTCCAATAGTCAAAATAGTCACTACTACCTCAAGTTTTATTAAACAAAACTGAAACATTCTCTTGACTTTAAAGAATTGTACTTTATCAAAATTCAATTTAAAAATCAGTCTTAAAAATATTATCATAAAGATTCATAAACCTGTTAAAGTAATACCCTAGTTATATCCCTTTAACCTCCACTCCCTAGAGAAGGAGACAAAAAGGGACACTGTCATGGCGTATGTTGAATAAAGAACACATATGGCACAAGCCTCTGATTTAAATGTCTATCCTGTGTCTGTCATTATTCCTATTGATATAATGCATTCCTGAAAAAAACTATACAAAACCCATGAAAAAGTAAACTTAAGACATGGAACCTGTTAGTGGAAGCTAATTTCTATCCCCTATAAAGAACGACAACTCAAAATACAACTGAGTTGCTTCCCTTGTTGTTCTCAGACAGTAAATGAATAAAAGTTGTTTTATATGTTAAAATACATTCGTCTTTTTATTTCAATTGTTTTTGTTCATCCCAACAACCTGAGACATAACAGAACTATATAGAACAATGCAATATTTTCCAATGAAGCCTGAAGAGTAAAGTTACAGCTGTACTTTTTCACATTTAAACCAGATGGCAATGGGTTTCTGTTTTGTTTTTTTTTTCTTTACAGGTTTGTGAATTTGGTGATGTAGTACCTGTGAGATCAATCCCTGGACAAACAATAACTGAGCTGTACCTAATAAGAAAGAGACATAGACATATCTGTAGACAAAGTCAGTGGAATTAAAACAATCTACCTTTGTAGATTAAATAAAGGGTTCAGTTTGAAATCCCCTGAAGGTTACTTGGAGCAAAAATCACCTGATGATGGTCACAGAGCGCAACAGCTTAAACATTGTGATAACAGCAAAGATGAGGACAATAGTCTGCTTGTAAATAATGCTAACTCCTCATCCAAGAAATTCAGACAGAAAATTTGTTAAATGGATTAACGATTTAGATTTTAAATGTAATCAACTTGCTGCCAGCATGACATTAATCTAAAAAAAAAAAAAAAAATCAATTAAAAAGCAATTAAAAATAAATTAAAATAATAAAAAAAAAACATACCTGAAACCAACTGATTGACTCCATTTTCCAACTGTGCCAAATATGCAATTCCAACTTCAAAACAGAGCAGTGCCCTTATGCAAGATAAACAATCAAATTGTAAAAGAGCATCCGAGAAATTTGAAGGGCCATGAGATGTCATGCCACAAAGGCTGTCTAATAGATTTATGAGACCCCCATGTTCTAAAAACTCAATCACCCACTGTTCATTGGCAGACTCGATTTGTGTCTTCAAAGAATAAAAGGAATCCATGCATGGACTGTTTGCAAAGTCAGCACATTCCTCGGGAGTTAATTTGGAAGTGGTCACTGTAACTGTAGGTATTGTGTCATCCATGGTTCACTTTCAATAGATTTGCACGTTGAGAATAACAACCTTACATACCTGGAAGGAAAAATAAAATACATAGAATATAAGTATAAATAAATTTAAAAGAATTTCTCATAATAACAAATGAAAAATAATAACCTATGGTAACCTTAGAATCAGTAACAAAAAAGTATAAAACTTTTTTTTTTAATTCTAAAGGGTCTTTTTAACCGACTATATAAACAGGATGTGCATTGTGATGTAATGGATATCAGCTTAGAGTGAGAACTCGGAGAACCAAGTTCAAATTCCACTAGAGTTCATTAGATTCACTTACACACAAATACCCTTAGGAAAGGTATGAATCCATCTATTCCCCCCCAGCTATGGGTTGAAAAGACTGGGTTCTTTAACCTTGGTTAGCAACCATTCTACTGCAGAAAGAAATGGCAAAGTACTGCAGGAAAAAAATCTGCCTCATCAGTCATGTATCAAAAGATACATGATTGCCTAAGCGTGTATCACGTATGGCGCTTAACTGACTGATATAAACAGTCATTAATTATTGCAGGTATCACAGAGTTTCTTTTTAATTAACTATATAAATAGTCATTAATTATTACATGTTATAAGTATTGTGCCGTTCTATGACATGTGATCATTAGTCAACTTCCACCTGTCTTTTAGTTGACTATACACTTTATATTTCTTTTACTTAACATATGCAATTAGGTAAAACCTATTTACCAATCCATTACTTATGCACAAAATGGCAGAACTGAATGAGAGAGATCTCTAAAAAGGCCCAAAACACAAGACTGCATTCAGTGAAGAATTATTATCATTTTGGCTTTATTCCAAGTTGGGATAAAAAGAATTTAAATCTGGAACAAGAAATGGAAAATTGTATAACTAAGGATGAATTCCCTTGAAAATCAGCATTCAGAATCCTTGCATTTACCTGGGCTTGAAATGCAGACCTCTAGCATGAGGACATCCAAAACAATGTTAGCAAAGTTAATTTTCACTTTGAAAAAAAATTTGTTTTAATGATATTTGACAAACTTGGATTAAATAGAGTTTTACGAATATTTGTTAATCTTAAATCAAAAGGGAGTTTTAGATGATTTTGTTGGGATAATCTTTCAAGTTTGAGAGATCAACCATTCTTCTTTTCTTTTTCTTTTAAACATTTCACCCCCAAGCAAGGTAATAAAGCCACTAAGGCACAAGGTGTTACTGAGTGTAAGAGAATATGAGAAAAAAAACAAAACATTATTAAGGAGAAAGAACAGTAAAAGAACAAGAATTAAGAAGACAGAAGATAACAATTGACATTGCATTTAAATTTTTGAAGACCAACATTGATTGGGAAGCAAGAAGACAGAAGAGTTCCACAAGCTAGAAGTGCAATAGAAGAAACTGTTAGCATAGAACCTACAGTTACTGTTTTATTGTGCTGTTCCACAACACATGATCATTAGTCAACTTCTTGCCTTTCTCTTTGTTTACTATACACTTTTACTTAATATATGCAAATAGGTAAAATCCTATTTACCAATCAACTACAATAAGTTTTCTTTTTAACTGATTTTTTTTTTAGATATCCCAACATTTAATAATTTTAAAAGATTTTATTATGAGTCAACAAAGATATTTTTCTATTGAGTATTATTGAAAAAGATGATTGTGTTGTGTGTCCCTGATGACTAACATCAAAATATGAAATTGGCTTTTCTCAATTTCCCCCTCACACACAATTTCTTCAAACAGAGTACAAGAGAGATACTGAAGGTAGAGAGTTACTAAATGGAGTTGTTGTAATGACATACAGGTAGAGATCAAGGGGGTGCATATTATGAGGATATGAAGGCTAGATAACTGTGGATCTTAGACTTGGGGAGGTTAAGATTGTAGTGATCAGGAAAGCATCCTTTCAAGAGTCCATTTCACAATGCAACAGTTCTGGCTTACACCTACATTATGTTGAAACACCAGTTCTCATAGGACTAGTGAAGTTAAGCAAAGTTGAGCTATTCTGTACCTAGATGGGTGACCACTTGGGAATACCAGGTGCTGTAAACAAAGATGTATGGATGGTGTCATAGATAATGTCTTAGAATTGTTAATCAGCGAATTAAGTTCCAATTCTGTTGGGTTTGTTATTGTTGTATTGGGTTGTTCTTGCCTTTCTCTTAGTTTACTATACACTTTATATTTCTTTTATTTAACATATGCAAATAGGTAAAATCCTATTTACCAATCAACTACACCTCCCTGAACTGAAGAGGTTTAATGCTTTTGTTTGTTCTCAAATTTCTTCTACATCCCCTCCTCCTTGACATTTATATCATGTTTTTTTTTTAATGGAGATCTTGGTCTAATTTCATCTTCTTCCATGTCTGAGACACTCCTGCTATCATCCATAGGTTTGTCTTCTATTGCATTATCCTGATCTGAAGAACTCATCCTTTCTTCTCTTTCAAGGATTCCTTCCATCATGTCTTCCTCTTCAATTCTGGGTTTTAAATGGTCAGAATGAGCCATTAGGCTTTTTCCTTTCTTTGATATAATGGCTGTGTTATGTCCCCTTTGCATGATGAAAATAACTCTCTCAGGACTTGCTACTTTGTCTTTCTTACAGCATAGAACTTACAGTTATTGTGATATGTCCCAGAAAGGAATATATTTGTTTGAAGTAGCAAAGTGGTTTTGGACTACTGTAACCGAGTAGGACAATCTAGCAAGTAACCGTAATGGACTGGTCCTGGTTGTAGTCGTAGGCAATAGGCATAGGAAATAGGTGAAGACTATAGGTGTAGCCAATAGGTGTCAACCTGTACCCCCACATCAGTCTGTATTTATGGCTGACACCAGCCAATCATATTACTGTGAGGGGGGACCAGGTGTATGCATATTCATTACATCATATTGTATTGTTCTATGACACATGATCATTAGTCAACTTCTTGCCTTTCTTTTAGTTTAGTATACACTTTATATCTCTTTTACTTAATATATGCAAATAGGTAAAATCCTATTTACTAATCCACTACAATAAGTTTTCTTTTTAACTGATTTTTTTTATTCTACAGTAAAGATCAGCCTACACAAGGCCCAGGAGCCACTTGAGGTTAAGGGGGTAGTATGTACGGAAAGGATAACACTTAATTCTTGACGAACAGGTTAAGTAGTGATCTGGGTAACATCCTCTTGGGAGTCCGTCCCACAGAGCTGCAGTTTGCAAAATTATATTAATACTGAAGCTCTACCTATGTGTGATGAATAATCTTGAAGACTGGAGAGAAAAAGTGGTGACAATCCATGCAATTGGCACACCCTGATGATGATTAATACTTAAATTATTAAAAACCCAAAAAATGCCAAATTATCAATGTTTATTTTTTGTTAATATTTACAACATTATAATCATACATAAAAAGTATATCTAAATTTAAAAAAAATGTATTATCAGAATTATTCTAGAAATGTTTTAAAGTCCTTAGGTTAACTTCAGCCAGAATCATTTTCTGAAGTCAGTAAATTTAATTTTTTTTTGCAAGGCAGTGAAGCTACTAAGACACAAAGGGTTACAGGGTGTGGAATAATTAGGAACAGAAACATTAATAATGAGTGGGAAGAAGAAAGAGTAATCAGGAGGACAGTAGGTAGTGATTGACGTTGCATTTAAATTTTTGCAGATTAAAATTGGCTGGAAAGCATGGAGCCTGAAGGGAGTTCCACAAGAGATAAGTGTGAGAAAATAATCTGCTAGTATAGAATTTACAGTTGCATCTAGCCAGCTCAACTGTAATTTGAGATCTCGATGCTAGTCTAGTACGGTGAATAAATTCAAAATGTGTAGGTACCATAGCAAATAGCTCGTCCAGACAATTACCATGAAAGTATTTATAAAAAAGATGAACTTTACAGCAGTAGGAAAGTGACTGAAGTTGAGATGCCAGATCATGACCAATAATATTGCTTTTATATGGAGAATAAATGTTAATTACAATTGAAATTGTCTTAATGCCAGTAATAATGGATAAAGATGCTTCAAGTACTGTGGAAAAGATAATGGTCAACTGATCTGGCCATAATATAATTCAAGTCTACTTCTTAGCAATAATAGTCTCTCTATATACTTGACCAAAGGTCTTTCATTTCAGTAGTCGCCTCTATTGTATATTAGGTAATTGTGGTCAGCACAAATACTTAAACCAAGTGGCTTGGCTGCAAGAGGCACTTAAATAGAAATAACATTGAGGAGACCTAGGCTCAAAGACAGAAAAAACAAAAGGATTAGATACATCAAGTTAAGGTTTATTTTTGAAGAACCGTCTCCCACCCACCGACTGAACAATAAAGTCATTAAAAGTATCACATACAAAAACTATGATTAATATTTAAAATTTGTACATCTTTTCTTGAGAAAGCAGGCATAGTTAAGTGGAATTGGCAAAATTCTCGATAACAGAAGAGGAAGAAAAAGAAGAGGTCAAAATAGTACAAGGCAAAGTAACTATATGACAATAAACTAAAAAGTCTGCAAAATAGAAATAGTATACAAATGTAAAAGGGATACAGTCGAATGGTTATAGCCTTTTGCTTCCTTTTGACTTCATGGAAAGAAACAAAAATTGTGTCAGTAAAACTGAGAATTATCCATTTTTATAGACTAGAAAGAAATCATGCATCTGTAGAACTTCTTTAAAAAATTTAGGGAGGAGGATTTTTAGTATTCTTTCACCAGATTGGGACAAACAGTTTGAAATTCCCTGAAGGTTGCCTTGATTGACAAATGTCTGGAGAAACCCAACGAGCACACCATGATAGTAACAGTAAAAATGAAAGAATTGTCTCTTAAAAGATAAATGACCTTTAAATAATATCATGAGAAAATTTCATTTATATATTAAGCATTTTTTTCTGTAAACTTGTGAATGTACTAATAAAGTAAGTGCCTCCAAAGATTCATTAAAACAATGTGCATACATGATGAAAAGATGTCCAAAACTTAAAATCAAAGTTATATCGTCAAAATATTTGTTATTATTAAGAGGAAAGACTAAAAGAATTTTTTATCTAAAAATTATTATTTATACTATTTACATTGTTTGGAATGATGTTCTCATCTTTATTGTCACATTCACAATGTTTCAGCTGTTTGTACGCTCCTTTTTCAGATAATATATGTTGGAATATCGAACTGAACCCTTTATTTAGTCCTTGGGGGTAGATTGTTCTAGTTCCATGCCTTTGGATATCTGATAATATAAACAAGGCCATCCTCCTACACCTGTTTCCAAATATATTTGTATTCGGTTACTTTAATGTCAACCATACCAGAGGGCTTAAACACTGTCACTGACCAGGCTGGAATCCAAACCCTTAACTCCTCAATCACTTAATCTCCCATGCAAATGGTTGACTTCCCCATGTGTTTCTTCAGTAACCCTGACAGACACACTTATCTTCTTAATCTCTTTTTTACATCTATCCCTGACTCATGTTGTACTACACAGTTCTGCCTTCTTAGCAACTCTGATCATGCAGCTGTGTCTGTAAACATCTCCTTCTCCCCCCCCCCCAGTCAAGAATCCCCTACCAACAGAATATCTTTCTGTTATCAACAAGTAGGTTGGGACTCATTCCATGATTTCCTGGGGCCTATGCTGTATCTGATCTTCATCAATGATCTTCCTGATGTCATCAGTTTCCATGTAGGCATTTATGCTGATGACACTATCTTTTACTCCTGTCTCAATAGCAAATCTGCCAAAGCTGATAAAGTTAACCTGACCACTGCTCTTTATAAGGACCTCCAATCTGTGGTTAACTGAGGCAAGAAATGGCCCATAAGTTTTAGTGCTCCAAAATGAAACTGCTCTCATTTAACCACCATAGAGAATTTTTCCTGCCTGCCATCAGCATGGCTGATGCTAGAACTCATGGAGATCAACACACTACAACTTCTTGGCCTAACATTTTCAATTGACTTGAAATGGAATGACTACATCACATCAATAGCTACATCTACTGCAAGGAAAGTTGGGTCACTGTTTCATGCTAGAAGGTTTTTCTCATCAAAGTCCATCTTGCACATTTACAAATCTACCATTTGTCCATGCATTGAATACTGTTGCCATATCTGGTCTGGTGCTCCTGCTACTCTTAAGGTTCTTGACAAAATCCATAGAAGGATCTGCAATGTAATCAATCCTGACTTGGCATCTCAACTTTAGTCTCTTTCTCACCGTGACATGGCTCTTCTCTTTTCTACTAATATTTTCATGGCAACTGCTCTGATTAGCTTTTTTCCCTAGTGCCCAGACTACGTGAGTTTAAGTGTGCTACTGGGTTGGCATCTAGGTCCCACCCTTTTATTGTTGAATTAGTTAAATGTAACCACCACTTCTACTCCAACAGTTTCTTTTCTCACACTTTCCACCTGTGGATCTCCCTTCTGTTTCTTTGCTTCCCTGATAACTACAATCTTCGAAAATTTAGATGCAATGTCAATTGCCATCTTCTATCTTCTTGAACCATGTTGAGCTTTTATCCTTTCCTCATCCTCCTTATGCTCATTCTTTTTCTCCCACCTTCTCTCTCCATACCAGTGGCATTCCTACCTTGCATCAGGTGAAGTGAAAAAAAAAAAATGAAATGTAATAATAAAATGGTAAAAGGAAATAATAAATTGGTATAGTAAAATGGTTAAATTTAATGGTATAGTAAAATGGTTAAATTTAATGGTATAGTAAAATGGTTAAATTTAATGGTATAGTAAAATGGAAAATGAAATGGTATATTACAATCTAAATTACCGTATTTGACAGCATATAAGACACATGGGTGGATAAGATGTACCCCACTTTCAGCAGGGCAAATCAAGAATAAATTAGTAATTAGTAAAATTAGTAAACCAACATATGGCATATAAAACACAGGGGAATTTTAAAAGATATATTTAGTAAAAAAAAAAAAAAAAAAAGAAAAAAAGTGTACCTTATATGCTGTCAAATACAGTATATAGCTTTTCCCAATAACTTATGAAGTTAATTCTATTCAAACTAGTACAT